CATTTGCATCTTGTATGCCTAACATTGCATGCTTGCCATACTAGTTGCATAACACTTCGTATGCCTTGCATCTTGATATCATGTTGCATTTTGAGCCATGTTTGCATAACATGCATTGCATTGCTTGGTTTGGGGTGTCAAACCTAGTGTGAGGGTTAAAGGGCATTCATACTATAAGTGATGTAACGTGCCTTAACTCTCGGTCACCGGGGCCTTTGACTTCGACATGATAAGGCCTTGGTCCTCATTTGTGTGTTGCATGCATTTTTTTATCAAATGGCAAGCTCGATCTCTTGGGCTATCATGCACCATTGATGGCTCGAGTATCGAGGGCCATGTTCCCCTAAGTTCGACACATGATGGGAAACATGACCATGCTCACATGTGCCTGAAATCCCATGCCATATACTGTCTGTTCTCTGTTGCTGTCAAAACTGTCTCCTGCAGGAAGTTTCTGCCGACCGGCAGAATTCAGTACCGACCAGCCATTGGTGAATGGCCGATAAATCCAGAAGCAGCCGATGGAAATTATGCACTACCGGTGGGAAGTTCCCCCAGCCAGTGGTACTCTGCAGTATGCAATAAACCTGTCCCAGCATTTTGGAATTTTTCAGAGAGATAGGGCAGTGTAAGCAGAGACAGCCTTGGTATGGTGCGGGTTTTCCGGGCAAGGCAGGTTCGAGCATGCATCATTCGCGCATCTCGAGGCGGAGGCTGTGGCCATCTTTCTCCTTCATTTTGCATTCTTTCTATTAATTAAGTAGAAATTCTGTAATAATTAATTTATTTGTTATTCGGACTGTAATATTTATTTGTACCCTCCGAGCGAGGGCGAATCTGTAATAAGTGTGTGTGAGTGGGGTGTATGTCTTCCAATCCCATGTCTTTCTTCCCTTTTATTTACCTGCTTATGATGGTAGACTAGGGCATATTTAAAATTAGCATACCTTATGCAATGCATGCGTGCATTCATACATCTGTCCTACATACACAGGGCTCGGTACATCATGCTAACTGCATTTGTATTTCAAATTCCAAATTGAATACGTGCATCAATTGGTTGCATTTCACATGCCATGTTTAACAAATTGTATGCTAAGTTCGGGAAGTGTGAGTTCTAGTTTAAGGAAGTGAAATTCTTAGGCCATGTGGTGTCCGGGGAAGGAGTAACTGTAGATTCTTTCAAGATTGAGGCAGTACAAGATTAGGAACAACCTAAGAATGCCTTTGAGATCTAGAGTTTCTTGGGATTAGCCATGTATTATTGTCGTTTTATGAAGGATTTCTCTAGATTAACCTCACTGTTGACTAGACTGACGATGATGGAAATTAAGTTTGTATAGAGTGAGACTTGTGAGAAATCGTTTCAAGAACTTAAGGTTAGACTTACCATTGCTCCAATGTTGATTATTCCAGAGAGGGGTTTAGGTTATTCAATGTATTGTGATTCGTCTAGGGAAGGTTTGGGTTGTGTCTTGATACAAGAGGGGAAGGTATTAGCATATAGCTCACGGCAATTGAAAACACACGAGAGAAACTATCCTACACATGACTTAGAGCTAGCAGCAGTGATCTTTGTCTTGAAGATTTGGAGACATTACTTGTATGGTAAGAGGTTTGAGGTATTCTCCGATCATAAGAGTTTGAAGTATATGTTTTCATATAAAGATTTAAATCTGAAGCAAAGAAGGTGGATGGAGTTTATGGAGGATTACGATTTCAAGTTACATTATCATTTGGGGAAGGCTAATGTACTAATCGATGCCTTGAGTAGAAAATCCTTTAGCAGTGTAGCTAGTATTGTCATCCAGGAATGGGAGATGTTAGGCGCTATTGGCGAGTTTGACTTGCATCTTGGCGAGTCTGTTGAGTCGACAACTTTGTTTACTATGGTTGCACAACCTACACTTGTGAGCCGAGTTATGGAAGCACAGCGAGGTGATCATGAAGTAAATCCATCCGGGAGAAGATATCTAGATGGAAGGTAGAGAAGGGCTTGAACGTGCATTCTGACTCTAGTGTTAGATATCTTGACTGTTTTTTCGTGCCGGAGTCTTGTAGAGAGGAGGTACTCCGAGAGTTCCACTATTCACGCCTTGCAATACATCCGGGAGGCACAAAGATGTAGCACGACCTTAGTCTCTAGTTTTGGTGGAGGGGGATGAAGAGAGACGTAGCCTTGTTTGTATCGAGGTGTCTTGTTAATAAGTGAAGGCCAAACATCAGAGGCCAGTGGATTTGTTGCAACCCTTGCCTATAGCTGAGTGAAAGTGGGAGCATATCACGATGGATTTTGTTGTGGGTCTTCCGAGGACTCAACGGGGTAATGATGTCATGTGGGTGACAGTCGACCGGTTAACTAAGTTAGTACACTTTGTACCTATGCGCATGAGTGACTCGGTAGATTATCTTCCTGACTTATACGTTAGGGACATAGTTCAACTTCATGGGGTCCCAATGACTATTGTTTCGAATAGAGATCTGCGTTTCAAGGCTCAGTTGTGGCAGAGCCTATAGAATGCCTTGGGCACTAGATTGACATTTAATACCGCCTATCATCCTTAGACTAACGAGTAGTCAGAGCGTACCATTCAGATCCTAAAGGATATGCTTCGGGGTTATGTTCTTAACTATAAGGGGTCGTGGGAGAGACACTTGCTCTTAGTGGAGTTTGCCTACAACAATAGCTTTCAAGCGAGTATTAGCATGGTACCATTTGAGGCCTTGTATGGCCAACTATATAGATCTCCTATATGTTAGGCCATGGTGGGTGATGCACCTATATTAGGTCTTAAGTTAGTCTCGGAAACAACGAAGAAGGTTGCACTTATTTGTATGAGGTTGGTTTCAACTTAGAGTCGTTAGAAAAATTATGTCGACCGTAGGAGAAGACCGTTATCATTTGAGGTAAAAGATCACGTCTTCCTGAAAATATCACCTAGACGCGGTTTGATAAGGTTTGGGAAGAGTAGAAAGTTGTCTCTTAGATTTATTGGGCCTTTTGAGATCTTAGAGCGCATTGCGGAGGTAGCTTATCGTTTAGCCTTGCATCCACAACTTTTCGGGGTTCATGACATGTTTCATATCTGTATACTTCGAAAGTATGAGTTGGATCCGTCACATGTGTTGGATTGGAGCGAGTCAGAGATAGATGAGGATGCCTTATACGAGGAAAGACCAGTTAGAGTCCTAGATTTACAGGACCAAGTCTTGTGAGGCAAGACAATTCCATTAGTAAAGGTGTTATGGAGACACCATAGTGTTGAGGAGGCGACTTGGGAGCCGGAGGCAGAAGTTCGTGAGACGTATCTGGACCTTTTTGTTAATCTTTGAAACTTGTAATGAAAATCTTGTTATGTTGATCAAAGGTAACATTGTATATGTTTTGAAAAAGTGAATTGTATATTTAGTATTGAGAACCTTGTTTATCCTTGTTATAAGAATGAATAACCATTGAATGGGCCACGATTATGAGTTGTTGTAATTGATTTAAATACAGTGGTTATTGTGTTGATTTTAAAATTTCGAGGATGAAATTCCTTAAAGAGGGGAGGTTATAACGATTCTGGTTTAGATCTGACCCGTTCATTGTTTTGGATCTGGGGTTCCTTGTCTTTATGGTTGTTCATGTCTTCTTTCGTCTCATTTCTTGTTGAGTTTGGTTATTGGAGTGTCTTGGTTGCATATGAAACAAGTTGGGGAGTTAGTTTTTCAAAACTGTTGCTGCCCAGTTTTTGGCTTGTTCGCTAGAGTGAACTTTTTTGCGCTCGAGCAAACTTTGAGACCTTCCAGTACTCTTATAGGTCTACAAAACTACTGGAAATGTGGTATTCCTCACTCGAGCGGTATTTCTTGCACTCGAGCGGTCACTTGGTTCACTCAAGTGGTCTCTCTTTTTGTATTTGGTCGCTCAAGCGGTCTGCGCGTATATCAGATTGTAAAAGCTACTTTTTGAATCACTTTTTCATCTCTCTCTCTAAACATTCCAAAAACTCAGATCTTCTTCCTCTCTCTCTAGAAAACATCTTTAAACCTCAAATACACCTTGATCTAGTGGTTTCTCAACCCTTATCATTTGGAGAAAAAGGTAGAGCTCACCTAGAGCCTCCATTTGATCGGAACAAAGTTCATTTTCGGTTTCGTCGAGTTTCAACCCTTGTTCATCTTTGTCCTTGTCTTTGAGGTATGGATTTGTTCACACTTTAGTATGATTTTTAACTTAGTTATTTATCTTTTTTAAAAAATCTTGATATTGGAGATTTTTGAATAAATCTAGAGTTTTGGTTTGAAATCAAAAAAGAGATTTTCAAATGGGTTCTTGAAAATGGCTGTGGAATTGTAAATGTGGTTGAGTTGTGGTAAAATGATGTATTTTTATCATTGGAATTAATTTATAAAGAAAAGGAGATTTTGCCCTGAAATGTGAATATTTGATTTTGTAAAGAAAAAATGAAAATGATGTGGGTTTTATGGAATTGAAAGGATGATGATGATGATGGTGGTGGTGGAGTTGAAGTTGGAGTTGGATATGCATTATCACTCCCATCTTGAGATTTTGGAAAGTATATCTTTATTGGAAAGTATCTATCTATTTAGTGATATCTATTTTGGGCTATTGGTAAAGAAAATTGTTGCAGAAATTGCATGAGAATTAGGTGAATTGAAACTAATTTCTCATCCATTTACATCGAGCACTGTAACTTATTTAACACATTGAAAATGTTTATTGTTTTGAGAAAAATGGATAAATACCTTGGTGAATCTGGGTCATGTTGACCTATGCTTTTTACTCCAATTTTCATCTTTTGATTACTAGTAACACATGTTGGCCTGTGTGATCTGTTATGGGTGTATGATCTTTTTTTCTTTTTACATTTGAGCTCATCAGATCTGTTAATGGTGATGATGATGATGAACAGATCTGTATGATAATAATGAACATATCTCTCTCTCCCTATGTTGTTGGTTGTCATTGAATATGATGGTGTTATAATCACTACAAGAAAAATAGCATACAACCACATTTTTTTTCCTGGCGTTTTTTAAAAACGTTGTGAAATTTTTTATGATTTTTCACCTTCTCAGCCAATTTAATTATTTTATCTCGTTTTGCACGCCGTTATTAGAAAACTGTGAAATAACGTTTATTTGTGATTGAAAAGGCAGGTTTCTGATCAAAAGAAGAGAACAGAGGCGTGACTTTTGAGAGAGAGGGAGGGAGGAAGGGAGGGAGGGAGAGAGAGAGAGGGGCAAAGAGAGAAATCAGGCCCTTGGATCTTCGATCTCCATCGATTCTTTGGTTGTATGATCTGGAAATTCTTGTTCTGTACTTGATTTGAGTGTATCTCTGTAATATCGTTTGAATCCCTCTTATCTAAGTCGATCTAGGGCTCAAGGTTAGAATTTTCTGATATGGATTTGCTACATTCACATAAGATCTGTAAAATTTCATGGCTTAAACTAACGATTTATAGTTGATTTCTAGTTTCTTTTATTTTGTTTTGTATTTTCTCTTTCTAAATCTATTTATCTAGGGTTTTGAGTGCCGTGTTAATGTCTCTGATCATGTACAGGATAAGCAAGCAGCGTTGGATCTGGATCGTTAGCAACAGTGAGTAGAAGCAAGCTCAACGATGTAGAGATGTAGATCTTATTCTCAGATCTGTTCTCTATTCGATCAGATTTGCTCTCTCTATCTCTCTGATCTGCTATTATGGTAATATCAAATCTGCTCTCTCAATCTCTCCGATCGAATTTCATGTATTCTCTTCATTGCTCTATGAGATTTAGACCTTTCTCTCTGGTTTTTGATCATTATCTTTGTCACTCTATCACATTTTCCTTATAAAAAATGTCAAAAACAGTTTCTAAAATTGGTGTTGGTAACTAGTTCGTTGATACTCTTCTATGCGTATTGATGATGACCGATTTGTAGTTGAGGGTAGTATTTCCTGGTGAGTAGTTCGTTGATTGATTCTTATCCTATTGACATGAATTTTTTTATGGATTTTTTTGTTGGAATAGCTTGTTGATATTGTGATTCTTATTGTACCATTTCCCTTGCATGTCAAATGTTTGATAAAATGTGTCAATGGAAAATTTTTGTTATTTTTTTTTTACCTTTCAATTTTTAGCCAAACATCAAAAAATAAAAATGATGATGGAACTTTACTGTAAAATAAACTTTCGTCAGTGTAGTATTTTCTGCCAATCTGAAAGGATATTATCTCTGTCTCTATCGTTATGATGGCCCATGCCAATGAGGTTCCAAAAAAAAAAAACTAGAGAAACTAATATTAATCTTGCCTAACACAAAAGAAAACTCTAAACTTCAAATGGTTTTGTAATAAGAACTACATAATGCCAAAATATTTATAATCCCAACATACATTTTAAATATCCCAAATCACTTTTACATATTTTTATTCATTCTTTACAAATTTAAATGCACTTTATACATGTTTTCCAACGCTGTTTTTAGCATTTCCCTTGGAAAAATATTATGGCACTGATATTATGACAGTCTTGTTAGAATAAATCAATTGATGTCTTCTTGTATTGGTCAATCCCAAAACACATAGTGGTTGTAGATTATTAGACTGATTGCACTTGCATTAGTTTGATTTTTCGTATTCCCTTTTTTCTCATTTGCTCATTCTCTTGTTTGTTAAAGAACTACACCTGTGTTGTATTTGGTGCCTTATATTTCACATAGCTGTTGTCAAGACTTGGAGAAAGGAAGGTGATCGCTGGCATAGATTAATATTTTAAGGTCTAAATTCCTCTTCAATTTTATATATTCATCTACATCACAAAAATACAATTTTTGAAACAAACCTAAACCCACTTGAGTTGAGTTGGTTTGTTCTACTTACCAAAAAAAGAGTTGGTTTGTTCTCTCTGCCTGTTGGCATGTCATCACCTGTAATGCCACCTGGACACTGGACTAAGCTGTAACTTGCTGCTAAGGGATGTTGTCTAATTTATTCGGAGCGATACTAGTGTGAAGAAATTCGTGCATAGTTGTTGAGGCATGGTGAAGATATTATATGCTAACCTCTGTCATTGTGAACCTGTTGCATTGTTTCTATAGACAATCAGCACTCTTAGGGCGGAATCCAGTATTGAGAAAAATAGCTGTCACTTGGCCAAGTCTTGGTATTTTGAACTTATAGATTATGGATAAATATGAGAATTAAACTTATTTGAATAAATCCTACTTTTTTACAGTTGCAATGATAAGGAATTGTGTTTATATTCTACCTTGAGTACTACTCATTTCTCTCATGGTTCATCAAATATTTTTCTACCATTGTTTTTTCAGTTGGTTTAGTAAGTTTGCCTCCAATAAGTGTCCCCTAACCTTACAGTTTTTTATTCTATTTAAATTCGATTGTTCTTGTGTTTTGTCCAATCATCAAGAAGCTTTGGGTTTTCAATCATAATTGTAATATGTGGCAGATAAAGATTTTCAAACCCCCCAAGTGCATTCAAAGTATGCAATGAGCATCTTTGTGTGCATTATGCAGTCTGCTTTGCGCTTGAAGATGATAGGGAAATGTGAATTTTTTTTGGGCATGCTTTTTAATTGATTTTTATGGGCAAGTAACATTTTTATAATTTAGCCTGATATTATAGGAGCAGAATTCTTAATTTTTAGTTGGCAAATATGGCTTATGGAGCTTCCATCCTATTATAATTAATTGTGAATCATACCTGTAGGACATAATTAGATGGTTAATTTTATCTCATGTTTGACATGTCAGGTTCAAATCTACAGCGGATAATTAATGATAGTCGTGCTGATGTTGATTCTAATTCATCTGATTTTTGGGTGATGGTGGCAACTCTAAAGGTAATTTCTCAGATTTTGGAAGCTCTATTGTTTGTGGGGCTGATTCTTAGTTTGTGAATATTCTCATGTATTTTGCTCTACTTAAATCACTTGGGCTCTTGGTTTGTTTTTTAGTACTTGTGCTCTATGCCCAATTCTCTATGTAGCCTTGTCAATTCCATGGATAAACAAAGCTTGCTACTTTATATATTGCTTGTTCAAGATTTAATTTTAATTTTTCAATATAATCTAGTTGAACATAATGGCGAAAACAATTAATATACAACATCTTATGTACCAATAGGGTTGTTCTAAAGATGTAAATTGTTGTGCTCTGAGAAATTTAGTCAAAATTGTTCCATTTTTAGTGTTTAAGCAATTTCTCTGTCCTATTACTAATGAGATTCTTGAGCAGGTTCATAATAATTTGGCGTCAGTTACCCAAGTTATTGATCCAAAGCTTCATCAGCATTTAGGTACTGTTTTTAAATTAATGTATGTTCATTCCTTAATATAGTTGATAAAAGAAATCTTCATTTTTGTTAGTCAATAAAAATTTGCTCCAAATGTATAAAGTTAGTTGGGCGGGAACTTTTTTAAATTGGGCCTATAGCTAATGAATAAATTACCAAGGCATAGAAACAAGGTTTTAGAGTTGAGAAAACATAAGAGATAAAGTCATAGGTAATTCTTGTAGGTTTTAGAGTTGTATGGATGCAATTAGGACACCTATACTTGATGTATTATTAGTTCCTTTTCTTGTTTGAACATCTCATCATAAAATTATTAGCTAAATTAACAATAAACTGTGTCTTCTGATCTTGGAATGCAGAAACCCTAGGTGGAGGTGACTATCTATTTGCTTTCCGAATGCTTATGGTTTTGTTTCGTCGCGAATTCTCTTTCGGCGATTCATTGTACCTTTGGGAGGTATGATTCAATCTCTCTTGCACCTTTTTAATGTTTGGAACGAATTGATTGAAAATGGAACCATATTCAAGTGTTTTTGAATTACATAGAGAGCAATATGGGACACTTTATCATTATTATTAGAAAAATAAAATGAAACATTTGGAGGATTCTATGGCCTTTAAGGAAAATGCGAAGAAAATTGTATTGTGTGGTAGATCTTATTGTTTTGATGTTATATAAATCTGAATTTTGTAGTTGATAAAAGAAGACTATTTTTAGGTAATTAAATCTTTTCGTAGTTTTTACTTGTACTTCCCTTTGCAATTTCTCACTCCTCATTGAGTAGTTCCATCATATACCAAGTGCTCAGTGATGATGATCATTCTGTATTATACCTACTTACAGATCAATTTACCATATAGTTTGAATTGCATTTCAAGGGTTATTGCAGCTCTCATCTTTTCTTCTGTTATTATTTTATTTATTTTGTGCACAATCTATATTGCATATTGTGAATACAATGTATAAATAATTTTTTTTTTATTCTACATGCACTTCGAAATTTCATAATTTCTTTTCTTTCTAGCTTTCTTGACATGGTATGCAAGAGTATGTAGATTTTCCAGTCATTCAAGTTTACTGAAGTTGTGTTAATGGAATTGGATGATTTAGGTATGGAATTATCATTTTGGTGAAGATAATGGATGACTTGATGAAGCTGAAGAGAGCAGTGGATGAAGTTATTTTCAGAGAATTTGGAGAGAACACTTAATATTATTATTATTATTATTATTATTATTTGTATTATCATAGTGTTTTAAGGGTTTTTTTTATTTTTTTATTTTTATGAAAAATTGAAAAATGAATGCTCATTCACATTAATGTTATATATTTTAAGAATGGTGATGGATAATATAGGTTTGGTTTGAGTAAAAGTCAAAAAGATCATTAATTATGATTTTTCAATTTTTTTTTTAAATGACAGAAATGGCGACGTTTTTAAGAAAAACGTCGCAAAATGTCGTCATGATTACGTCAGAGATAACTCCTCTAACGGGCATAGTTAACAGTTGTTAAGAGAATTAAAGGCGTTTTAGAAAACGTCGTTTAAAGTTTTTAGCGGCGTTTTTAAAACGTCACAAAGATACAACGACGGCCGCATCATCGACGAATTTTATAAACGTCGTTTATTCTTTTTGCGGCGTTTTTCTAGCCTATTGCGGCGTTTTAAAAACGCCGCTAATTCCCCATTTTCTTGCAGTGAATACATTGTATATGTATGATATTTGGGAGAAGAAAGGGGATATACTCCATATGAGGGAGGATAAAGGGGATGGACTCCAATTAAGTTGGCCTGTGTGTCCTGAGTGTAAGTCCCGAAAACCGCGCATATACATGGGTGCTGATTCCCGCGGATGAAATTTTTGTAAAATGGCAAATTGAAGTATTGTGTATTGATTATGTATGCTTGAGAATCACTGAGTTGTAGTCTCAGCTGAGTTATCCGAATAATAATGAACGTGACTCATGAATTGAGGTGAAATGAATTGATACGAATGAAATTGAGATAAGACGAACTGGAATAAAAGAGTTTGGCATATTATGATCTTGTAAGATCTGATTGATTCTATAATGGTTATTAAACATGCATTTTATGCTTATATCTTTGTTAAAATTCAAATATAGTGTTAGATTGTTTCTACTGGGTTTTGGTTCACCCTATTGGGAAAAACTATTTTCAGGTGCTTGTACATGCCTCCGCCTAGACAGTAGCTTGGAAAGACTTAGAGCAAGGGCTCATTTTTGTTGTATTTAATTTGTATAGCCAATGGCTTTAACTATATTGAGCTAGACTCATTTTGTTGTAACCAAGGAATAACTTGGAAAGATGTAAGCTGTTAGGGCATTTAAATATCTGTTCAACTCATCTTTTGATTACTAGTAACACATGTTGTAGTAGGGATGGCAATTTAAACCCGGCCCGATGGGGACCCGATCTCCCGACCCCGATTTGAGCGAGTTTTCAGCGAAAATTACCCTCCATAGGGCCGGGATGGTATTAAAAATTGAATCCCCAATCAATTTCGAGCCGGGGACGGTGATCAGTATTCAAGCCTCAGCCCGTCCCCGACCCCGTCCTCGACCCCGAATTTCCCCGAAGTAATATTACCATTTTATCCCTCTATATATATATATGTAAACCAACCCTTTCACTCACACAACAGCACCTCATACTCACCTCATCACCGCCTCTCATATGTCTGTCTGTCTCTCTCTCTCTCTCTCTCTCTCTCTCTCTCTCTCTCTAAAACCGTCCGCCAATCTCCATCCTCCCATCACTACCGATCTCCCTCCTCTTATCACCGTCGAGATCTGAGTTCACTTTCCCAGACCTCTGTCACTATTTTCAACTACCGATTGAGCCACCACAACTCCATCGTCTCTTTTTCTTCTCCAACGGCAGTGAGGCCAAGCTTGCCGAATCACCGCCACCATCACCACTGTTTGTGGCAGTTGCAGTGACACCATCCGACCAAGCTTTTCCGATCCAGCAGTGACACCATCCGGCCTTGAGGCCAAGCTTCGCTGATCTCTGTCGCGGCCCTCGCCCTAGATCTGGAATTTTTCCTCTCTCTCTCTCTATTTGTTATATATATATATATATATATATATTAGATTTAAGTATCAGATCTCTCTCTCTCTCTCTCTTTCTATGTTGTTGTTGATAATGATGATGATAAACAGATCTCTCTCTTTCTATGTTGTTGTTGTTGATGATGATGATGATAAACAGATCTCTCTCTTTCTATGTTGTTGTTGTTGATGATGATGATAATGATGATGATGATGAACAGATCTGTTAGATCTGATTTTTTTTTTTTTTTTTTACATTTGAGTTCATCAGATCTATTAATGGAGGCAAGACAATTCCATTAGTAAAGGTGTTATGGAGACACCATAGTGTTGAGGAGGCGACTTGGGAGCCGGAGGCAGAAGTTCGTGAGACGTATCTGGACCTTTTTGTTAATCTTTGAAACTTGTAATGAAAATCTTGTTATGTTGATCAAAGGTAACATTGTATATGTTTTGAAAAAGTGAATTGTATATTTAGTATTGAGAACCTTGTTTATCCTTGTTATAAGAATGAATAACCATTGAATGGGCCACGATTATGAGTTGTTGTAATTGATTTAAATACAGTGGTTATTGTGTTGATTTTAAAATTTCGAGGATGAAATTCCTTAAAGAGGGGAGGTTATAACGATTCTGGTTTAGATCTGACCCGTTCATTGTTTTGGATCTGGGGTTCCTTGTCTTTATGGTTGTTCATGTCTTCTTTCGTCTCATTTCTTGTTGAGTTTGGTTATTGGAGTGTCTTGGTTGCATATGAAACAAGTTGGGGAGTTAGTTTTTCAAAACTGTTGCTGCCCAGTTTTTGGCTTGTTCGCTAGAGTGAACTTTTTTGCGCTCGAGCAAACTTTGAGACCTTCCAGTACTCTTATAGGTCTACAAAACTACTGGAAATGTGGTATTCCTCACTCGAGCGGTATTTCTTGCACTCGAGCGGTCACTTGGTTCACTCAAGTGGTCTCTCTTTTTGTATTTGGTCGCTCAAGCGGTCTGCGCGTATATCAGATTGTAAAAATTACTTTTTGAATCACTTTTTCATCTCTCTCTCTAAACATTCCAAAAACTCAGATCTTCTTCCTCTCTCTCTAGAAAACATCTTTAAACCTCAAATACACCTTGATCTAGTGGTTTCTCAACCCTTATCATTTGGAGAAAAAGGTAGAGCTCACCTAGAGCCTCCATTTGATCGAAACAAAGTTCATTTTCGGTTTCGTCGAGTTTCAACCCTTGTTCATCTTTGTCCTTGTCTTTGAGGTATGGATTTGTCCACACTTTAGTATGATTTTTAACTTAGTTATTTATCTTTTTAAAAAAATCTTGATATTGGAGATTTTTGAATAAATCTAGGGTTTTGGTTTGAAATCAAAAAAGAGGTTTTCAAATGGGTTCTTGAAAATGGCTGTGGAATTGTAAATGTGGTTGAGTTGTGGTAAAATGATGTATTTTTATCCTTGGAATTAATTTATAAAGAAAATGAGATTTTGCCCTGAAATGTAAATATTTGATTTTATAAAGAGAAAATGAAAATGATGTGGGTTTTATGGAATTGAAATGATGATGCTGATGATGATGATGGTGGTGGTGGAGTTGGAGTTGGATATGCATTATCACTCCCATCTTGAGATTTTGGAAAGTATATCTTTATTGGAAAGTATCTATCTGTTTAGTGATATCTATTTTGGGCTATTGGTAAAGGAAATTGTTGCAGAAATTGCATGAGAATTAGGTGAATTGAAACTAATTTATCATCCATTTACATCGAGCACTGTAACTTATTTAACACATTGAAAATGTTTATTGTTTTGAGAAAAATTGATAAATACCTTGGTGAATCTGGGTCATGTTGACCTATGCTTTTTACTCCAACTTTCATCTTTTGATTACTAGTAACACATGTTAGCCTGTGTGATCTATTATGGGTGTATGATCTTTTTTTCTTTTTACATTTGAGCTCATCAGATTTGTTAATGGTGATGATGATGATGAACAGATCTGTATGATAATAATGAACATATCTCTCTCTCTCTATGTTGTTGGTTGTCATTGAATATGATGGTGTTATAATACATTGCATATGTATGATATTTGGGAGGAGAAAGGGGATATACTCCATATGAGGGAGGATAAAGGGGATGGACTCCAATTAAGTTGGCCTGTGTGTCCTGAGTGTAAGTCCCGAAAACCGCGCATATACATGGGTGCTGATTCCCGCGGATGAAATTTTTGTAAAATGGCAAATTGAAGTATTGTGTATTGATTATGTATGCTTGAGAATCACTGAGTTGTAGTCTCAGCTGAGTTATCCGAATAATAATGAACGTGACTCATGAATTGAGGTGAAATGAATTGATACGAATGAAATTGAGATAAGACGGACTAGAATAAAAGAGTTTGGCATATTATGATCTTGTAAGATCTGATTGATTCTATAATGGGTATTAAACATGCATTTTATGCTTATATCTTTGTTAAAATTCAAATATAGTGTTAGATTGTTTCTACTGGGTTTTGGTTCACCCTATTGGGAAAAACTATTTTCAGGTGCTTGTGGCATGCCTCCGCCTAGACAGTAACTTGGAAAGACTTAGAGCAAGGGCTCATTTTTGTTGTATTTAATTTGTATAGCCAAGGGCTTTAACTGTATTGAGCTAGACTCATTTTGTTGTAACCAAGGAATAACTTGGAAAGATGTAAGCCGTTAGGGCATTTAAATATCTGTTCAACTTTCATCTTTTGATTACTAGTAACACATGTTGTAGTAGGGATGGCAATTTAAACCCGGCCCAGTGGGGACCCGATCTCCTGACCCCGATTTGAGCGAGTTTTCCGCAAAAATTACACTCCATAGGGCCAGGGATGGTATTAAAAATTGAGTCCCCGATCAGTTTCGGGCCGGGGACGGTGATCAGTGTTTAAGCCTCAGCCCGTCCCCGACCCCGTCCTCGGCCCCGAATTTCCCCGAAGTAATATTACCATTTTATCCCTATATATATATATATATATAAACCAACCATTTCACTCACACAACAGCACCTCACACTCACCTCATCATCGCCTCTCATATGTCTGTCTCTCTCTCTCTCTCTCTCTAAAACCCTCCGCCAATCTCCATCCTCCCATCACCACCGATCTCCCTCCTCTTATCACCGCCGAGATCTGAGTTCACTTTCCCAGACCTCTGTCACTATTTTCGACTACCGATTGAGCCACCACAACTCCACCGTCTCTTTTTCTTCTCCAACGGCGGTGAGGCCAAGCTTGCCGAATCACCGCCACCATCACCATTGTTTGTGGCAGTTGCA